GTAGGAAGGAAGGCCGAGGGGATCAACTTACTCGCGTGACTCCAGAGAGGCGGAAGAGTAAAGAGAACGACTGCACATCACCCCGCCGGACAGGTATAATCACACAAACTGATCCTAGAAGCCGCCACACAAACAAAGATGGAGAGGGCCAAGCTCAAACCGTTTGGGAGGTTCAGAAAGAACGCCCAAGGGATCAATTCCTAAGGATCCAACAAGGTCCAACGCCAATTCCTGAGTGGAGCGTGGGCAGATGGCACGCTGAGACACTACAACTCAGCCATAGTAAAACGATTTAGATTTGCCAAAGTCAAGGGTATCAAAGACAAAGACCTACTGCTGATCTCAGGGAAGCTAGTTAGCAATTTCGTAGCATGGGTGTCGAAGAAAACGGTCCCGAACATAACGCAAGACAAATCAGTCAAGTTGTCAACACTGAAGGTGTACATCGCCGGGCTCAAAGCATGGCACATGTTCCACGGAGAGACCTATCCATCACAAATTGACAACACGGTAAATACGCTACTAAGAGCAGCAACAAAAATAGAAGCACTCTTACACAAACGTAATATTGCAAGACCACCAGTCCTGGTAGCCGACCTGGCCGTGTTGATGGAGAGCCTGTCAATGGTGAGAGAGGAGGACTTGGCCCTACTGGCAATCACCCTGACAGCCTTCTGGGGCACAGCCAGGTTAGGAGAACTTGTAACCGACAGAGGGGAGAAGTCGATGCCCAAATGGCAGGACATAACGTGGGCGAAAAACGGCACATACGCAAAGATTGCTTTATCGGACGCCAAAACCGCCGCTCCAGGGGAAATCCAATACCACCACCTACAGCGACAAAACTTGAATCTTGACCCAATAGCAGCGCTCTAGAGGCTCTACCTATTCCGCCCAAGAAAGGACTCCGAGGAAATCTTTCAAGTCATAAGGCAGGGTGCCAGACACAAGCTAAAGAAAACCAAAGTCATAGGGAAGCTCAGAGTACTATGGAACCAACATCAAAGCAAGAAAAAACAGATGCTCTACGGACACTCGTTCAGGATGGGCGGAGAGCCTCTAAGATGGAACCTCGGAGAAACAAGAGAAGAAATAAAGAGAGCGGGTAGATGCAGGGCAGACGCTTACCAGCTGTATGTACCTGAGGAAATTTGATCCAAAAGAAATGAGAGAGACGGTTAGAGTGTTGGAAGAACAGAGGAGGGATTGGCAGCCAGGTTTCCAAAAGCAGAATTAGGATTGGCGAGCAACCTGAAATACAGACTTAGAGTTTCACGCGCAAAACGGCCTTGAATGCCACTGTTACACACACGGGAAGGGGCACAATGAGAGGCAGACCACCCACGGGCGTCGAGTAATGGGGTTTCTTGGGGCTCACAGCTCTCCCACCTTGTGAGTGGCAGGGGTCAAGAAACCCCTATCTCTTTCTAGCCATTCTCACCTTGTAGGGGGTATTATGGTAGGGTAACCATAGGATACCCTACCCCCATACCCCCCTCTGAGCCCCCCCCCACACCACGTACAGGGACTTGATGATTTGAACATTGTATTTAGGTCCTTAGGCTCCCTACATACTGGTAGAACGGATAGAATACACATAGGCATTCCTAGCAAAGAAACCACAAAGAGCTAGGAACAACAGACCCAAGCACATAAGCTTAGGTCAGACTTGAAACACACACTCCCTGACTATTGGACTTCTGAATTAACAAAATTGGTATGTTTCTTTTCTTGAAACTCTACCTAAACAAAACCCTGATGATTCTATCTTGGATTATATAGGATGCTAACTAGTTATTGGTACAATTCATTTCACCAATTAATTCACTTTCAGCTATTTGTGAAGTAACAGATGCAGAGATAGATGAATTATCTTATGCCTATAGATGCTCAGATTGGAAATTTTTTCTTCAAAGCTTCAGTTGGATTGGATGTGAACTTGATTCACAGTTATTTGATCATGAGAGGTGTTTTAACCTTATTCCTCAATGATAATAACAATAGATTTGGACTCTTGGAAGATTTTATTGGACCTACTGTAATAATGATGTGAGGTATACCACTTTGTCCTAAAAGTTAAATTTTTGAGCTCAATTGAAATCAAAATCAAGCATTACGGTATTCAAACTTTTTTGCTGCTTCAGGTCTTGATGATTTAAATAAATGGGGCAAATAATTGATGAGTATGAGTTGATATGTGATCTATTGGTGTTTTAGAATGTGCATAATTATATTTGAGCTTAGCATGATGTCTGTCAACCAATTGCTATATGAACTTGCATTCTGAAAGAATAAGGACATCAATTTCAATGGTTGTATATCAGAGAGCCTTGCCTTTGGTTAACAAAATGTGTCCAGCATCTAAAATGTGTTTGACTGGTCACTAATCAACTGTTATTGACGCACCAATTATATGATTCAGAGGCAGACAAAATAGGAATAAACATGACTTTGATCATCTTTGGGAGCTCAACTTGATTCCTATGTTGCTGATAGGTCTGAAAATTTCTACTACAATCACAGATTGAACTTGACAAGTCACAGTTCTGGACTCAATTTATTAATTGAGAGTTATTTTTGTACAGCTTGTGATTGAATTGGAAATAGGAGTCCATAACCTTTAGATGAAGACCATGAAAGGATACCACATGATTATAAAATTCCCTGCATATGAAAACTTCAAAATGTAATCTACCATACTTAGCACTTGAAAAGAAGCCACCAGAGGATTTTGGAAGATCAATTTTTATACCAGCTGTACTACTGAACTAGATCCATGTGGATCATCCAGTATATGCAAACCATGCATTTCCCCCACTCTAACTGCATTGGAGGTCAATCTGATGGTGTTTCAAAATTGACTTGAGGTGAATGGACTCACTGGCCTGCCAGTGCCTAGTAGAATGAGGCTGTGTTTATTTTTTTATTATTATTTTTGACTTTTTCTCTTTTAATAATTGTTCTTATCAAATGATGTAACCAATATATGATTGAAATGATACTAAAAATATGATCTATAAGCAACTTTGAGACCCTTGCTGACCACTCACTTCACTACTAAATTTGATTTTGACTACAACACAACTTGTGCACATAATGTTTAATTTTTTTGATTATATGAGATATACTGATCACCACAACAGTCAGTGTACCTTTTTCACAGTGCTGAAGTTGAAGAAGAAGTTGTTTGAGGAGGGACCAGAAAATGAACGGTCCAATGGCCAATATCTTGAAGAGTAATGTTCAGTTCAAGATCAATTGAAGTTTTGTGTTTACAACAACCTGAAACAGACCTAACACCCATTGTCATGTTGTTAGGTCTATTTCCAATGTGCAAATGCCTCTCGTTGTGATTCCTGATGCAAGCAGCAATGTGTCTCCCAACACTGCACATGTGATTTGGCCAGCCGAATGTCCCAACGTTGAACACCACCACAGAGGGCTTCCACTGGCAAGCCTTACAATCCTGTCAAGAACACAATCAATCATTACAACAATGTCATGGACAATTTCCAGGGTGTCAAAACCCCATTCATGTCACATACATCCAGCCAGGAACTGGCCAAAAATCCCCCTTCTCTCACCCACATATCCTTTTTTCTCTGAAAAAACAACTTTTTGGTCAGGTGCATAAGTAGGTACATTCCTGGGTCCTGTTGGCCTACCAAGATCCAGAGGTATGAATAGGGGGGGTCCTCCAGACTGCAGAAGGTTCCACACCTTCTTTACCACCATCATCTTGTTTGACCACCTAAAAGATTGAAAAAGTGTCCACATTGGTTTATTTAACTACCATACAAATTCTCAGGAAAACAGTTATACAATAATAATACCCTTACTCTTAATTAATTATACCCATAACCTCCTCCTTTGAAAGATATTCTTTGGATAGCTCCAAAAAGTGCATACTATCTTGGTTGCATACCAATAGTTCTGCAACATGATGTTGACAGAATCCCCGTTGTCTTGTAACACAGGCTATTTATTGGTAATCTATTCCTTTGAAAAACATCTGGCTTAGAAATTGACCAATTCACGTCTGTAAACGTACAGTGAGCTGTGGTCCTCTTTTAAACTCCCTATATGTTTCACAATAGATATTAACATGTCTCTTTCCTACTTTTTTTTGAGGATACAACATCAGTATAGATCTAGCAGACCCAGCAAGATGTTTGTCAGGACCAGGAAGTGAGTAAGACTAGACTACTTGCCTTCTTAATTGATAGCCATGATGGCAATATTCCTGATCTTAACTTCAATCAGTCTTGGACTGCACTTTGGTGTGTGAAAGGGAAAACAGTTATTCACCATGTAACCCACAGTTCTTCTCCAGAGAAGTTTATTATTGGCAAAAGGCATATACATTTATAGGCAAGATGCAAATTCTCTCTTGGATAAGTATTGTGTCATTGAGCCCAGCTTGAGAAGAAGGATAAATCTAGCTGGGATATGGCAGACCTTGTGAAATTCAACATCATGATTTTCACAACATGGCAAAGACCTGGCATGAGACTTGCACCATGGAAAGAAATGACAGAAGAACCAAAAATAGGACCTGATGAGGATGTACTTACATGAAACCCTTCAAATCTATGGGTATGGGGGAAAATAAAACATCTCATCTACTAATGACCCAGCAAGGACAAATTGATAAGCAAAATGTCTGTGTTGAATGTTTATTTTTTGACAAGAGAATTTTGTACAATTTTTTTGATGAGATAGAAGACATTGGAGCAAAGAAATAGAAGTGGATATGGATCAAACATTCAGGCTGCTAGGTTTTTTTGGCGCTAGTCACTCAAAAATAAGAAAATTTTCCCAAGACAAGCAGTCTTCAATGATGCTCTTCACAAGTTTTTAGTATTATACTTGAAGCCCTGATACCTGTTTGTTGTACAAAACTTCATGTCTTATCTTTATGTTCCTGAACATCAATACTTGCTTACTGGTTTTGAGTTCAATGGGCTGGCCACAGTCAAATGAATATGCGGTTTGATTTCTTATAAATGCCGAATCACTTGTTCAATCATTGTATTTTCTGCAATTTGATCAAGTTGATGGTTGTCCAAAATCTATTATACAACAAAAGCACATGTTTGATTATAGAGATTGATCAATTTATCCCAATAGTAAAAGAAAGTATATAGTTTACCACTCACATTACTAACTGATTCCACAAAGGTATTGAGTCCGGGAGGTGAAATAGGTATATCTCTGTCTACAGGAGGAAGAACAATCCTCATTCTCCTGTAATGCTCTACGGCTTTCAGGATGATTTCTCTGATGCCTTGTGAAAGACGTCTCTTTCCCACGTGCGCATTGGCACATCCAATCTTGAACCTTATCGAGTGGTACATCATTCTAAGAATCAGTTCATAAACCGCCTCAGCTGAAGTAATATCACCAGCCCCTTGTATATGCTGAATGACTTTGTTATATTTGAACAACGCTTCATCACCTATAGCTGTAAGTGACCAGTTTTTGTCTTCAAGCACGCGGGCAAGGTCTACAATTCCTGATCCCAGTGATATCTTTAGCTTGTTGACTATCTGGTGGAGGATAACCTTCTCAAGCCAAGTAGAATCTGGATGTTTGTGAGACAGGATAAAAATTAGCACATCTACAAAATTGTCATATGTATTATCAAATTTGCCAACTTTTTACCAGAAGCATCCATCGATATTCACCCAATGTAGGCTCTGGTATAACACCATCTGGGTACACTTTGGACCACATATCTATCAAGCTATCAACTTTATGGCGTACAGTACGATATCCCCTTTCAATCGCGTCGTTGAAAAACTTCTCCTGAGTAGGAAACACAATGAAAAAGGCAGCTATGAACTTATGATGATCAAGATAATCTTCTTTTCTAGAATCTAGGTTTTTGAAAAAAAACTCCAAAAGATGACAGGCTGCTGGGGGGGATGATTCTGCGGTTGCTTGCGCTGTCCAACCCCGAATGTCCTCCAGATATCTTGCCTTCAGATGCTGGTTTTTGGTATGAAAATTGGACTCTTTTGCCAAATAACACAACATGTATTGCTTTGCCAAATCGAAATGTTCCTTCCTGAAGAGCCCATAATCTTGAAACAAAATTCTGATTATCTTTCCACTTTGAACTGAATGATTCAGTACATGTTGAAAAAGTGCTTCACAATATCCTTTTTCCCACACAGAAATTGGATGTTTCTTAAATAAACGTCTGAAATCGTTAACAAGCTCTAACATTTCATGCCCATCCTCAGGTAGTTTGTTTTGCAGGAGATGTTTTGATATCAGGTTGTAGGTTCTGTACCCTTGAAGCCGAACCCCTTCTTCCTTCACCATGTCAAACGTACCAAACACTCTGGCCCGTTCAAGGAGCTCTTCCAAGTCTACATACGCACCATCAACATAAGACTGTACCCTTTAAAAAACTGATCAGAGAGTAAGTTCACTTACCTTTGCTGATCTCATTTGCTGAAATCTGTTCTCCAAGCCAAAGTGCCTCGAATCGTTTCGTCATAAATGGTTCATAGGCTGAGCCCATGATCAAGAGAGTAATAGCTCAGCCAACTGGGCATGAATAATTTATAAAATTGACTAACCTATCGTAGCTTTTATCTCTAGAAGCACTTGATTACTCCAAGAGATCCTGTTTATCTTTTGTTCTCCTGACATTTGTTCCACATCTGCTGGCGAATACTTGGAAATTGCACATAAAATTCCAACAATCCAAGTCCTTTCTATTTCATCACACCCCATTTCATGATTGAAAGAGGCTGATTTTATAAAGATGTTCACTATCTCTTCATTACGCTTGAGCCAATCTTTCCAAGACTCAAAGGTCGGGCTTAGAGTTGAAATCATTGAAATCGCCAGGTCTGCCAATTCTTTAATCCCTTCCTTTTGGGTTTGGTCCTTAACCTCTTCACTTTTTCGAAAGAAAGCTGCGTATGGTGTGATTTTGATTGAAGATGACAGTATATTTGCTTCATTGACGGTTCCAATAACATCCTGCAAAGGATGTCCTGATACAAAACTAAAACTGTTTACCATGTCGGTTTTTGAACATTGTTGGACCAACATTTTTTCAGAATTTACGTTTTCCAGTCGGCATCTTACTAGCAAAGGCTGACTGAGATTTAATCCCAGTACGAATGCTGATAAAAGTCTTTTCATCTTGCCTTGTGCGATTGGCCAGATTTGTCTTCAGGTCTGAAAGGTGGCATCTCATGTGACTGTGACACAAGACACAATATATAACCAGCTGATCAAAATCTCTGACAAAAGATTTGCTAGGTTCCGCTTCATTGAACCTTTTACAAACTCCAAAGTTAAACATGAATCACATGAGGCAAGTATCAAGTCTGCGTATATTCATCTCAAAGCTTCATAATTATGATGTCTACCCGCTATCAAGCTGCTTCGCTTTAGTCCAACAGTATTTCTGCGCTTTGGGTGCATGTTTCAAGACTTTTCAAACAACATCCATAGTGTTCTGACCGCCAATCCCTAAGCCTAAGGTTATGCAGTTTGGTCTTCAGAATGGACCTCTAACAATGGGGTCTCGGTCACATTTTTCTTAGATCAGCTCATCACTTAGATTTTGACACAGATAATTTCCAAGGTGAAGCTCTTGATGCGCATTCAAGAAATAAAATCTACTAGTAATAAACAACCTAGTTGAAATATGATCTCATATTGGGGTTCCACAAGATCATTTGGGAAACGTTTCAAGCCTCAAAGTAGCGTTCATCCCCCTATGGGCCCATTGTACTTGTAGTCCAAGTCCTGTGCATCGAGTGATTGGACGAAATTATACCGTACCACTATTTCATCAAACCTCAAATGAGGCTTGAGGTGTAACTGAATCCCCTGACGTCCAAGGAGCTATTCAAAACATCTTTCATGTGATTGTAGACTTGTGGCTTTCCACCTTGAGAAAGTGCCCATAAAGTGCAAACTTCACCAACCAAAAGGTGATTTGTGATGTGGTGGATACAGGATCAGTCAAACAAACTGTGGTTGCCTTCCACTTTGAGAAAAGTGCTCATAACGGGCAGCCCTCATCTGCAACACTGTGATATGCGGTTAAATAAGGTTAAATATCAAACCAAGACAAAAATTGTATTGGTGGATTCAGGTTAGGGTAAGTCTGTTTTCACAAGGCGGCTGGCCACCCAAGGTCTAGTCCCAAATCTAAGTCAGCACTCAGGGGACCTTGAGACAGGTTGAGGCCTGACCAGCAATCACAGCTCAGCCTTGCTTGGTGAGTGCAACTCTTTCAGGGCAAACAATTAGTGCACAATTCAGGTGCACCTTAGAGCCCCCAAAATGCCATTTTGGTGGGGGTGCACCCTTATCATCTGATCCAATCACAGAAATGGGCTAATCTGTGGCTTTACACACAACACTTGTGGTACACAAATATTGTTCTGGCAATTTCCAGAACACTGTTTCCAGAACACCAGAAGTATTTTTTTGGTGTGTTCTGGCATTCTGGCATTCTGCAACTTTGAATGCCCCAGTTCATTTGAGGGGCTGCAGCGGAAAGTTTATTTTTTTTCAGAACACCAGAACCCTGCCTGAAGGGTTCTGGTGTTCTGGAAATAACATTCTGGAATTTGCCAGAACAATATTTGTGTACCATGACTGTTCAGTGGATCTTCCAAAGGCTTAGATTTTGAAGTGGGAACCTGAGTGACATTTTCCTGTTGTGGCATTGGATTGTGCAAATTTTATGCTGCTAAGCATCACAACCCCCAAGACTTGGGGAAATTGGTGGGCAACACACTGGAAATTTTCACAGCTTTTTGTGTTTCTGGTAGGCCTGTGAAAAGGTGTCAATGCTGTGTTGCACACTTTTAATAAGATACATACATAACCATTGTTGGCAACTTACTACAGGCAAACCCGCACAGTTACATAATCAGTCACCATGTCTGTTTTGAGGTAGCATGTTGACGTGCTCACACCAATCAATTTCCGTAGAGGGTGGATATAACCTACAAACAGGTCTGAGAGCTAAGCATACAATTGCCTTTGTCAAGAGGTTCAGACAGCAAGAGTGTTAAATGGGCTCCTTTGTTCATAGTTCTATTGACAAACGGTACATTTTTGATTGTTTATTATTATTAACAAAGGATTTCCATTTTCTAGAGACAAATTGAATAAAGATCCGTTCAAATTTATTACACAACTCTCCGTGTGAGCACATCGACATGCTCATGGGGGACGGGCATGGTGAGTCATTGTGCATGGTTCAGGAAGTCCTCAGACTTGATGCAGGCTAAAAGCTGGATCAGTTGCATAATTGGGTCAAAGTTGAAAATGTATCAGTCAAAAGTAAGACAAATAAGCTTGTAGAGGCAAAATTCATAGCTTTGAGCCCAGATACATGATGAGGATACATAGATTTATGCATAAACCCTGATCCCCAAGGCTTAAACCTGACCCATAACCCATATAGTTGTACAATGTTGTGTATCCCAACATTCATTTTTGCTTATCCTGGAATTGATCTCTAGATCTGTATATACTCCATTAGACTGTAGAGCATGGGTCTTCCCCTGATTATGCAATTGTGTGGGTATGACTGTGAGTACCTTGAGATAATGCACAAAGTATGCAACAATAGGGAGTTTCAAGTTTGGTTTTTTTGTGTAATTTTTATAAATTTGGACAAATTGTTCATAAAAAATCTGTGTAATACTAAAACCAACATATTTTTGATTCAGGACACCTCAAAAGGTGTCCTGTTTTAAAACATTTATGCATTCCTTAAAGCAACGGCTTTCTTACCTTTGGGACCACTTGTCAGGGCGGCTATAACTAGTACGTACGAGAAGGTCTAGTAAGTCAACTCGTGCTGAGATCCTGACGGTCTATTCCGCTGGCTACGGGGAATAAGCAAATTATCCTATTGGAATATTCAAGAAAGACAGTTATATAGGTAACTGAGAGTGCTATTCGTTCCTTAAGGGGAGACTTGGTAAACTATAGGCCCACTGTGGTTTACAGGTGGTGGCAGGTCGAGCCTGAGCCTTAGTTATTCTCTAAGCTATAAGCTTAAGAGCAGCCTGAGATATAAATCTGCAGGGATTCTGTCGACACGAATGTACAGAACCTGGGTCCTTGACCAGTGGAGAAGAAGAGAAACAACTGACCAACAAGATTTAACTAGGAGTGAGTTCTCTATGAATAACAATTTCTTGGAAATGTAGTAAATAGGTTTGACGCTGATTTAAATGGTTTTCTCAAAGTTTTAAAGCTATTAAGACTATTCGTCGGGAATTTCTTAGGAGCTTTGGAATTGAAAAAGAGTCTTTCTCTTGTTTAGAAAATCTAACAGGAAATTGGCTTTTGTAAAATCAGGTGCCGTCTCTTCCCCTTTGCTTGTTAGCCAGTACTTATACCTTTTAGCACTCCTTGTCTATCTTATCATTGATAATAGAATACGTGTTCTCTTGGCTTAGGTTCAATTAACTCCGAGCTGATCCGTTAGCTCCTTTCGTAATATCAATTACAAAGTGGGAGGATACGTAAAGGACCTTACGTAATATCAATTACGAAGTGGAATGATACGTAAAGGGCAGCTTGGTCATCGTATTTCAGTAATCTTATATCTCCCATGATCAGTTCTCCAGATAGATTAGTATCTTTCGTGATCTCTATTTAACCTCTAACTAGCTTGAGAGATACTTCTTTTCTATTATTCTATTTGTTATTTTATATGCTGCTTCAAGGAATCTTTCCTTGGCAGTTCCTTCCTTTTCTTGATTTCTCCGGCCTAGTCTTCTTTTCCAGAGACTAGACTGGTTTCATTGTTCTTTTGATAATTGTGTGCTTTACATTTCTATATTACATAATTTTTTTAGACTTTCGATACTAAGTCAATAAGCTGTCTCACTGCCAGCATAAAGTAATTTCCCCACGGAAAGATTTAATACATTTAGAGCAAGAAATGATGGAAAATGCATTAGATCAGCATTAAATCAGCATTAAATCAGCATTATTCAGCATTAACTGAGCATTTTTGATTGAATAATGCATTTAATGTATTCATTTTTTCCTGGGGAAAATACTTTATGCTGGTAGTGTCTGTGTCTTTGTAGACGGTTATGTTTATATTTCTTTTAGTTGTTTTCCTGGCGTATCTTTCTGAGAGGACCTTTGAAACTAGGTCAATAAGTTGTATAATTATGTTACAAAAAAAATGATTAATTAATATTTTGTTTCTTGTAGGTCTTTTGGCTCTTATGTGTAAGAGCTCGAGAGCTGACATTCCCCAACCTCAGGGGTGGAATGCAATGACGCCCCAACCTCAGGCCTGAGTATTATTCTCGCGTCTCTCGACTCTGAATTTCCTAAGGAGTCTATCTGAGTCTGGTATATCCTGGGCTTCTAGCCACTTATCTTTGTCTGCGTCTTTTCCTTTAAAGCGTGCTAGATAAAGTCTAGTGCTCCTCCCGTTGATTTTCACGTATTTATCACTGATAATCTTTTTTATAGCCCCTATGGGTTCTTCTTCCATAGGTGGATCTCTTTGTTCTATTTCTGTTCTATTAGGGAATTTCTCCTCGTCTGACTTTTCGTACTTCTTCAGTAATGAAATTGGAAAGGTCGGATGCTTTCTTGCCACTTTGCCTGTCAGGATAACTTCTACCGTGTTGGTCCCATGTAGTGCTTTTATCACGTAGGGACCTATGAATGAGTCCTTCATTTTTCGTGGTCCTTGTAAGTTGGTAAAATTGACTGTGGATATTAGTACTAAGTCGCCTACTTTGAAAGTCGGTTCTTTGTGGGTCTTGTCCCATCGTTGCTTATTATATTCTTTCGCAGCCAGAATACAGTCACCTGCATGTTTCCTCGCTTTTTCCAGCATATTGTGAAAATCCATTGCTGTCGGGTGGAAGGTTGAATCCTTCGGTTTGATCATCTTTGACGGAGTCCTAATATTAAATCCCCTTTCTACCTCAAATGGTGATTTCCCTGTGGTGCTATGAGTACTGGTATTGTATGCTATCTCTAAGGCTGGCAGTAAGCTTTTCCAGTCGTGCGTATAGCCGTTATTGTCCTTGAACTCAAGTCCAAACGCACAATACCTCCTGATAAGGTCACTGAGGCTTTCGATCATGCGTTCCGCTAGTCCATCTGTCTGCGGGTGATACGCAGTCGACATTGCTAACGATGTTCCTGCAAGGCTGAATAAACCCTTCCAGAATTCGGAAGTAAACTTAGGGTCTCTATCACTAATGATCACCCTTGGTAATCCCGAATCTGAGACTATTCGTTCCCAGAACAGCATCGCTATGTCCATGGCGGTTGCTGATTTGTGGCATGCCAGAAATCTGCAACGTTTCGAAAACCTGTCAACTACGACTAATACGCAGTCCACGTTGTCATGTCCGGCTGGCGGAAGTCCTGTCACGAAATCCATGTTGATGACTTCCCATGGTATTTTGGGTTCTTCAATATGTTGAAGAAGGCCTAGCCTTTTCCCTGTAGCTCGATTGGCTTTCTGACATCTATCACAGGATCTCACGTATTCCTCTGTTAGTGTTCTCCAACCTGGCCACCAGGCTATTTGTTTGATTCTATCCATAGTCCTTTCACAAGATAAGTGACCTGACATGACGTCATCATGACATACTTTAAGTATATCCGTCTTCAGCCTTTGCGAAGTTATGACCATTGCGCATGAGTGTCTTTCTCTGTGGTACAGGATCCCACTGAGTAATGTGAATCGACCTTCGTCAAATGACTTCTTCCATTCTTTATCCAAAGAGGATGAAAGTTCTAATGCTTTGCAACCCTGATTCATGATAGTCAACAATTTTACTGTATTTGGTTCTTCATTATAGTCGTTCATGACTTTATCATAAAATTCTTGCGATAAGTCCGTTATAGTGATGCCCATAATCGGCAGGTCTCTGCTAATATCATCTGGGTCCCATGCTGGGTTCTCAATGTCATTCTCTAACGCCATTCTACTCAAGGCATCCGCATTTTCATGTTTACGTCCCTCTCTATGGGTTATTGTCATACATGAGCGATACTCTTGTATGGCTATTTGCCAGCGCAGCATATGCCGGTTAGGCGTCTTCATATTCAGAAGAGACTTCAGTGCTGTACAATCTGTTATTACCTCGAAGAATGCTCCGTCGAGATAATAATGAAATTTCTCCAGAGCCCATACCAGACATAGATTCTCGAGCTGAGTGGCTCCATAATTCAATTCAGATTGTTTCAATTTTTGTGAGATACAACTAATTAGCCCTTCAAAGGGTTTCCCGTCCACAATCTGGATCTGTTGCAATGTGGCTCCTAGACCGTCGAAGCTCGCATCCACATATACTTTAAAAGGCAGTAATCTGCGTGGAGCAAAAAGGGAGCTTCTGTTAGTTTCTTCTTCAAGATATTCCATGACGCCACTCTATCAGCTGTCATTTCAAATGTTACTCCCTTCTGGAGTAGTTTGTATAGTGGCCCGCTGGCCTTGGCAAATCCTTCCAAGTGGGACCTGTAATAATTCGCAAAGCCTAGAAATTGCTGAACTTCTTTGACTGACTGTGGAATTGGCTTCTTGAGCACCGCCGCTACTTTGTTCTGATCTACAGCTATCCATAATCCTGAAACTACGTGTCCTAGCGCTTTCAGTTCTTCGAAGGCGAAGTTAGTTTTTTGTAAGGATATTGTCATACCCATCTTTACAAGTTTATTGAAAACTTGTTCCAATTTTGTCAAATGTTCTTCCCAAGTTTTTGAGAACACGATTATATCATCGATGTAGATGATAAGCCATCCCTCACTTAGTTCCCTCGCAAATTCCGTATCCATCATACGTTGAAAGTGCGCTGGGGCGCCCTTAATACCAAATGGCATTTTTTGATATTCATGGATCCCCATGTGCGATATGATTCTTAGCAAATATTTGGCCAGATCATCAACTTCGTTCTGATGGAATCCTTTCATCACGTCCATAGTCGTAATGTATAAGGCTTTACCAAGGTTCGTCAGGCAATGACTGATCCTTGGCATCGGGTACCTGTCAGGCACTGTAAAGGTGTTAAGTGCGCGAGAATCTCCGCACATCCGGGATTTCCCGTTATGACAAGCTATGATGACTGGAGTTGTTACTTCTACTTCTTCGTCTGCTCCAACTTTTCGTAGGATGCCGTGCTTAACTAGATCGCCTATGTGTTTCTCAATCTCTTCGCGGCTACGTGGGCTAGCTGGGTACGCCTGCTTTTTCAATATCGGAGGGTATGGTTTATCAATATTCAGTCTCAACTTAAGTTTGTGACCTTTAATTGTCCCTATAGGGTTTTCGCCATACGCAAAGGCTTGTTTATATTTTCTCGCTACTGCTTTCAGTGAATGCAGTTCTGTAGATTTCAGTCTAGGGGAAATGTTACATTCATCGAAGGCTTTCTCAAAGACTTCATCTACCTTCGCGGATATTGTTGCTATTCTCTGTTCTCTTACTGAACCTAGAAGGAATTTTTTCTTTTTATTTTCGTTTCCTATAGTGAAATATTTCTCTTTACTATGAACTATGTCAAATCCGTACAAACGAAGAAATTCTCCTCCTAGTATAAAATAATCTGATGTAGCATTGTCCATTATTACAAATTCCGGTTGTATTCTTACTGGTCCCAGATGGTGAGGAAATATCATAGGAAGTTCTATAACTCGCAGTGCTCGTAGTCTGTTGCTACATCCTTTAAAAGTCATATTACTTGGTGGCAGCATCAGATCTTCCCAGTTCTTGATGAATCTGTTCAGATAATCTGTTCCGACTATCGAGCACGCTGCTCCACTGTCGAGCAGCACTTCCACTTTCTGACCTCCACTTAGCAAAGCTGAAGTGATGCAGTGGTGCCCTATCGTATGCGCTCTGCCCTTCTCTGGTTTAGACATTAGTAGTCTTGCGTCCGATACTTGCAAAGAACGCTTCGCATTATCCTCCCATTGTTGGGGTATTGATGCTTGAGATTGTAATTCTGCAATATCCACACCTTCTTCCGATTCCACAGTGATCGTCGCAATATGACTCTGAGCTCGTCTTCTTCGTGGTTCGTCCCATATCTTTTGGGGTATCACTGGAAATCTAAAAGTTCCATCTTCTGTCCTTATCTTGCACTGCGTTCTGCCACCTAGGTATAGGGTGAAGCTGAATTCTCGCCAGTCTCTACTGCCTAGTATCAGATGATCTAAATCATCGTTGATCAGCACGATAAATTTAACCATCAGGAAGCAAGGTTTGATCGTGTGTTCCAATTTAATCGGTAGAGATATTTCTCCCTATTTCTCCTAATACTTCTGAATCGTTGGCGTAAGTGTTATTCTCGTCCATCGTTTTTGTATCCGCTTGCCACGTTGGCCAGTACTTTTTTAGTACTTTTGTCGACGCTACTGATGGCTCAATTCCTGTATTCAAGAGCATATTACTAACAACGCCCGACATGCTAATTGCGATAAAAGTTCTGCTTTCTGAATTGTTGAAAATTAAACGTTCTATAAATGGTGGTGGACTAATATGATTTGTCGTCTGCTCAGCTACTCTCAAGTTTTCAGCTAGCTCGGTTATCGATAAGGTTGGAGCCTGTACTGGTGCTTCCTCCTCTGTGGTGATCAATACTGGTTGTAAGTCTTCGTAGCTTTGATGCGTATTCGTCATATCAATGTTCCCTATACATAGTCCAAGGTCATCATCATCTGAAGATTCGGATTCTTCTTCTTGTTCTTCAGATCTCTCGGTCCGTTCCTCGCCAGACTGACCGTCATCCTCTTCGTTTTCTACCGCATTAATCGATTTTTTCTCGAATCTATTGATTCGATTGTCGTCTTTAAACGATACTTTCGCTGGGCCGCTTCCCATAGGTCTATTCTGTTTATAATCTCTATATTTCCCGGACTCTTGTGGTTTCGGATGTTCGGTTGTCTTATACTCTCTAGAGCTTAGTGTCTTTTCCTTGCTAGAAAAGTGATTATTACGATACTCTTTCGACCTTAGGAGGTTCTTCCCTATCGAAGTATCCGTTATTACTTCTTCAAAGATAATCATAAAACTTTCGAAGTCTGAGTGATCTCTAATTCGCGATTGAACAGCATGTTCTATATCGCCGTTACACAATCCTAGAATTTTGTCAATCTGTTCTCTGGTTGTCAGAAACGGCCAAGCGGCGTCCATCCTTCGACGTTGTAGAAGGAGCCATGCAGTCGGTTTGTCTCTATTTTCCCACTTGAAGGTGTCTCGATCGAATGCCATAGCCATTTTCCGTTTCCAAGTGGGCGTACCGAAGTGATCCATGATCATCTTCTTCCATTCCTGCCAAGATTTGTTCTTGCAGTTTCTTCTCTTCACTGTATACCAACTTTGTGCTGAATGCGTCATTACGACTCCTAACTTACAGATGATCAACGCATCCGGAAGGCACGTATCTTCCTGTGTGTTATCTATCCACTCTAACCATTCCAGGTGGTTATATTCTCCTTCACCGCTAAATTTCGGCCACTCTTTGGCTTGAAGTTGTCCTTTCTGCAGTGCTTTTCTTTCTTCGGCTTCTAGAGTGGCAGATCGCTCTTCTCTAACTTCTGTCTCTCGTTCCTCAGCCGTTGGTTTATTTGTTCTTGGTTGGCTCATGACGTTATCATCTTCGTGTTGTATATTATTTCGAACCGATCCGTAATCCGCGAAAGGGTTATTCCCTAACGTCTCTTGTTGCATACTATCTTCTCTATCGGCTTTTTCGTTCATCTTTGATAGTGTTCGCGTCACATTCATATGGAGCAAGGCTATTTGGTGTGCTTGTTGGTCCAACTTTTCACCCAACCTGCACATCATTTCGCTAAGATGTGTACTATGAATTTCTATCATCTCTTTGCATGCTCGTCCTTGCGCCTCGATGATTCTCTCACAATCGCATTCTCCGCATTTTCCTGCTGGAATTTTTCGCAATAAATCTTCTCGTGTTCGTTTTGCTTTACTGCATTTGTCTCTGATTTATGAGTTGTCTTATGGAGCTGATATTTTCGAATATCAGTATTACTTGTTACTTTATTATTGTCAATTGCCCAACGTTCGCTCATCATCTCAGGTGTAGGCTCATTCTTCAGTGTATTTTTCACTGGCTCACTTTGCTCTCTGGTCAATGAGGAACTCTCAAACGGTTCAATATTATTACAATCATAGTTTTCAGTCTGGTAACCTATGTGGTTACAACCCGTAGTTGGTTGAACAACTCTTATATCTTCTACTTGTCTCATAGGAATACTAGTTACATGATGATCTATAACTGGTCTCTGATCACATAAGATACGTTTAGAGGATAGAAACGGACTTGGGGTAGACGTAAAAATACTTTTCACTTGTGAGAAGATTGGTCTTTCGGGTTCTTCTGATGTCCTTTCCCTTTGGACTTGTTGATCCCTTTCACCGCTCGATAGTACGCCTTGCTGAATGCTAGCATGGAGTGCATGTTCTGGGCGTCTTCCTCCGCTTGCGGTGGTCTCTTGTAGGGTTCCTTGGTCTGTCTGTGGTTGTCGTTCCTCATTGGGCCTGCTGATGAAGTCGATTGAGCCGGCTCTTGAGTCTCGATCTGATCTGGGGATTGATAAGGTCTGTTGGGGTTGGTTGATCCGTGAGGGTTCTGGTTCAGTCCTATAAACCCGTTGCTCGTTTTCGCTAACATCTTCTTCTCTTTGACATACGGATCCCAGCCTAAGCTCCCTTTCTGGACTTCCTCCTTCCCTAGGATCGTCGTCAGGGCGTCGTGCGACATCTTCCACAATCCGAGAAAGATCTCGATCTGACGGGTATTGTTGGGGTTGGAGTCTTGGGCTGATTTCCAATTCTTGAAATTGTGCTCGTGGAGGGAGATCAGTAGTCGCTGTTGCTCTTGGGGGACCGTCGGTGGTAACTGCTCTGCCGGTAGGTCCTCCTGCATTGCGTCGCCCTGGGACTGAGCTGACTGAGCTTGCTCTTCGGGTGGTATCACTATAGTTGGGTCTGCCGGACTGACTCTCGATTGTTCTGACTCGATCGGATTTTCTAGGTGGCATTGTCAATGTTAGTGAAAAGGAAAACAAACACAGGAAATATAAGGTGTGTTATTTACCAGTTTGACCTATAGACGAGGTATTCGTCGTCAAGTGGGCTATAAGTAGTATTGATCTCAGCTTATTGTTTTTCTTTCGAATTTACAAAAGAAAAAAAAATGAAAGCTAGCTTACTCGTACCCGTCGTACGACTCTGGGCTGGCTGGTTGCTCGGGATCTGGACTACTGGCGAGGCTGATGGGATTTTGTCTACTGCCTGATGTCCCTTCGTTGGAACCGGATTGGGCTGGGTTATCTTGGTCACTGGGTGATCAAGGATGGTGTTATTGGTACGCTAAACTTCTTTCCAGATGTCTAGGATGAGAGAAAAAATATAAGTTCTACTAACTCTCCGGCGTCTAGTTTTATAGCTAAAATTTTTAGCTTTTTACCTAGTCTCCACAGGTCTCTGTATAGATTTGCTGGTGGTGGTTCTTTGAGTATCTTAATTCGCACGAATGTGTAGATAAGATTTCCTAAGGTTTTATTGATTGCTAGAAGCTCCTCTATTGCTGGATTCGTTGCTTCCGAAATTTTGAAGGATGTACAACAATCTAGGACTTAGAACGTGAAAGCCAAAGCAGGGATTATAGATCTCGTCGTTGAAAGGGTTTTCGTGAACGAAAGAAAAGTAAGGTAGTTCTCTAAATAGATCCAAGAAACACTGATCTATCAACTGGAAAGAAATTTTCCGGATGAGTAAAAAAAAAGAAAAGAAGAAAATTTGGTATATTTTTTGTAGGTTTTTATTTGTTTTTCTGACTAAGAAAGTAAAAGAAAAAGGAAATTTCAAACTAAAAACACGTTTTTGCTTTTGTTAGTCTCTGGTTATTAACGCTCGATGAGGCCCCCAATTGTCAGGGCGGCTATAACTAGTACGTACGAGAAGGTCTAGTAAGTCAACTCGTGCCGAGATCCTGACGGTCTATTCCGCTGGCTACGGGGAATAAGCAAATTATCCTATTGGAATATTCAAGAAAGACAGTTATATAAGTAACTGAGAGTGCTATTCGCTCCTTAAGGGGAGACTTGGTAAACTATAGGCCCACTGTAGGTTTACAGGTGGTGGCAGGTCGAGCCTGAGCATTAGTTATTCTCTAAGCTATAAGCTTAAGAGCAGCCTGAGATATAAATCTGCAGGGATTCTGTCGACACGAATGTACAGAACCTGGGTCCTTGACCAGTGGAGAAGAAGAGAAACAACTGACCAACAAGATTTAACTAGGAGTGAGTTCTCTACGAATAACAATTTCTTGGAAATGTAGTAAATAGGTTTGACGCTGATTTAAATGGTTTTCTCGAAGTTTTAAAGCTATTAAGACTATTCGTCGGGAATTTCTTAGGAGCTTTGGAATTGAAAAAGAGTCTTTCTCTTGTTTAGAAAATCTAACAGGAAATTGGCTTTTGTAAAATCAGGTGCCGTCTCTTCCCCTTCGCTTGTTAGCCAGTACTTATCACAGGGGGAAAGATAGAAGCTCACATAGATGTGAGCAGAGAAAGTTTGGAGGTTTCTCCAAGTTTTTTTCCAGTTTTTTTTCAATTTTCTTCCAATCTTCCTCCAGTCTTCTTTCAGCTCATCATCTGATTAAATGGTCAGCATGGCCTGAGCAGATGAGTTAGGCATTCCTCAGGCTTTATCCCTTAGCCAAGAAGCTTGAGGGAGGGCTAGCTCATCTGCTCAAGTCATCTCAGGCCCTCCAATGCTCAGCCTGTACAGTCAAGTGACCAAATGTGATTGAGTGGTGAGAGACCCAACCAAATGTGAAAAACACAATGGGAACCATCCCTTTGGATAATTCTGATCCCAGGAATGGCACTGAGGACTAGGTGAGCAGCTGAGTTGAACTGTGCGGCCCCTCATCCAATACTCAGTGACATCTTTTGGATAATTCTGATCCCAGGAATGCCACTGAGGACTAGGTGAGCAGCTGTGCTGAACTGAGCATCTCTCAGCCAATACTGAGTGACATCCTTTGGATCCTTCTGAAGGTGATTCTGAGTATACAGTGATGTGTCAGCTGGGTCCTGAGCACTCATCCATGCTCAAGAGATGCTCATCCAAGATGAAGATGAGCATGCTTAAGCAAACTCAAGCAATACCTAAGTATTACAGTCTGAGCACGTTGGCACCACCAAAATGGTGAAGTGAAAGAATCTGAAGGAAATTGAAACATTTTTGGAGTTATCAGGAAGGTACCCGCTGCTCACATCTATGTGAGCTTCTATTTTTCCCCCTGTGTATACCTTTTAGCACTCCTTGTCTATCTTATCATTGATAATAGAATACGTGTTCTCTTGGCTTAGGTTCGATTAACTCCAAGCTGATCCGTTAGCTCCTTTCGTAATATCAATTACAAAGTGGGAGGATACGTAAAGGACCTTACGTAATATCAATTACGAAGTGGAATGATACGTAAAGGGCAGCTTGGTCATCGTATTTCAGTAATCTTATATCTCCCATGATCAGTTCTCCAGATAGATTAGTATCTTTCGTGATCTCTATTTAACCTCTAACTAGCTTGAGAGATACTTCTTTTCTATTATTCTATTTGTTATTTTATATGCTGCTTCAAGGAATCTTTCCTTGGCAGTTCCTTCCTTTTCTCGATTTCTCCGGCCTAGTCTTCTTTTCCAGAGACTAGACTGGTTTCATTGTTCTTTCGATAATTGTGTGCTTTACATTTCTATATTACATAATTTTTTTAGACTTTCGATACTAAGTCAATAAGCTGTCTGTGTCTTTGTA